GTAAGTGACATCTGGCTTGGACCTATCCTGTCTGTCGTAAGTGTATTGCTAAGTCTGGATTGGGTCTACCTACGCATGAGTTCAGATACATGTCTTAGAGAATCTTTGGAACCTGGATGTAGTCTCACATCTCAATGTACCCAATTCTGCAATACCTTACCAAAACCATTAAATAACCAAGGCCATTAAAGCCAGAAGTTCAGGTTGGGACTGTATCTTGTTGAGGTAAAATATTTTTTGAAGGGTCTGCCACTCAGCTGCACATTTCTAGAACCATAGAAAATTGCGGCATAGAAGAAGCTACTTGGTTCATTGTGTCTCCCTCAAGAGCAATCCTTTCAGTCCCATTCACGAACACTAGAGATTCATATTGACATGTTTTGGGCTTGGTTCATCCTAAAGGGCAGATTCTTATAAGCTTATAATTGGTACTTCATTACAGATTTAATCATGAAGCTGTTTTTCTGTAAGTTTATTTTCAGAACTACAGAAAACTGAACAGATTTAAGATTGAATTCAACAATTTCCAAAAAAACTTGGTACTCTGAAACGCTACATAAATAGAGTAAATCTAGTCACAGGTAGAATTTTACCCCAATGATGCTTAATCTTCACAAATTTATTGGAATTTTTTTTAATAATGAATTTTACTGAATTGGAAAACCGCTAATAAGGTTTCTCTTAGGACAAATTTGTCTAATGTAAAGATTCATGGATCTAAGTGATATAATTTGATTTTTAATGAGTTAAATAGATATTGGGAGTTAATTTGCAGTATTCCCAATTGGATTCAATGTCTTAACCACAAATTTCAGATAACAAAAACCTAAGATGCCTGAGTATCAAATCGTCAAAGTCTGAAAAAAAGACCACCACGCAAAACCCAACAGGAACAGCCAGACACTCACTGGCCTTTTTACTCAATGCTACCTTCCTCTGTGGTCAGACAGATTGCTACCTTGTGGTCTTGTAGCGCTTCATTTCCCACTCTATCTCTGTGATCTGAAGGCCTTCGTAAACATAACTCACCAGCACAGATAGAGCACAGTCTTGTATCGTTTGTGACATTGGACAGCTGGTGTTGCTCAGTACCCTTTTACAAAAAACTTAAAACGTTACTGTTAATTAAACCTTCCCTTTTCTGTAAACAGGAAAAGTTTACTGTAATTAATCTAAGGATGGATTTTTATATAGATCAGATTTAATCCGTTCTTCCTGTTGGCGAATATTTCTGAGTTGACGCACAGATGCAAAAATTGTATTGTTTTTGACCTACAATACATGTGTCCAGTACTTTTGAAAGATATTTGTCACACTAAACCTTGGAAACTTAGTTCTGGTTCAGTCTCTTCTGATTACGTTCAAGAGCATTGGTCAGCATGGAGCACGCCCAGCAGTTATTATTTACAAAGGGTTGTGAATCTATTGCAAACACTAAATTTTAGATTTAAATTCTCAATCTTTTTACTCTATTCCATCTGTCCTCTTTCCATCTGTGGCCACATTGCCTGAATGAATAGTCTGTGTAGCAGCCTGGCAAGTTGGTGGCACTCTTACCTCTGGGTCAGAAGGTTGTGGGTACAAGTCCCAGGTTGGGACTTTGAACTCATAGTCTAATCTGACACTCCAATTGCAATGCTGGGGTGTGTTGCAATAGAGGTGCCATCCTTTAGCTGATTGTTAAACCGAGATTCCGTTTGCCTGTTCAGCTGAACGTTAAAGATCCCATGGCACAACTTAAAAAGAAAAGGGAGTTTTTCCTGGTGTCTTGACCAACAATCCCCCAAATAAAATTGGTCATTGTTTATGGTTGTTTGTGGGACATCGCTGTGCACAAATTGGCTGCTGGGTTTTTCTACAAATACACAGGAAATAATTCTATGCATCCACTCAAATATACCAGCTCAGTAATTATAACCGAAAATACCAGGAGAGGAAAATGGAAACATGTACAATAGAACAAACAAGCAATAGAAGGAGAAGCCAAAAGAATTAAGTTGGTGGATGATAGAGCAAGAAAGAAATAAAAGGGAAAAGTAAAAAATAAAATAAAAATGATACCAAAAAAATGTAAAGGATTAATCTAGGCAATGAGGAAGTAAGATTGGTAGTTACAGTTACACTGGAAAGCTCAGGTAGAATATTTTATAGAATTGTTTTTAAGTTAATATCTTTCCTTCCCTTGGTTTCCAATGGTATGCACCATCCTCAAACTTCTGTCAACACCACTGTATGAGCAGATGTGCGATCATAGCCTGAGGTTATGATCCCTGTGATTTCCTATCCTCTGCTGTGGAGAAGTCTGGTGTTCGCTCCACTGCTTTGTGCCACTCCCTGTATGAAGGAAGCCCCGATTGCCAAGCTCCAATTAAAAATAATGTCTTATGTCTACTTCTGGAAGTGAAGCATGAGCACTTCCAGCAGTAGAGCTATTAGGCGTAGGAGTGGGATTGATACCTCCCACTTCCAGTTACTCTGCCAAGGTCTAAGGAAAGTTCTTTGCAAACACTGAATTACAGTGTCTAGTGTTAGTTGTTTGATGTTATTACAGAGATAGTTGTAAGACATTGCATTTTACTAACATTAAAAATAATCCCTTAAAAGTTCTTGGATCGCCCATCAGATTCTCACCCACCGCATTTATACAACTATGGGTGAAAATCCATGTTCCACTGAAGTGAATGCCTCAAGATTCTGGAAAGCCAGGCTCTGATACCACACTGCTCAGCCCCAACTTATACTGTGCTTCTTGAAGTAATTCACAATAAGCGGTACAGTGCAAACAGGGCAATAGAATGTAAGAATAAAAATGAAGTATGTAAATTGAAACCAAATGAAATGCAGTATCAGATGTAGACCATTTAGCTAGTCAATACATGTTTCCAATTGGATCAGAGATCCATTCGCATGAAGGGTGGAAGAGATGATTGGAGAGATTAAATGCCTTAATGACCCAGTCAGCTGGGAGGAAGTGGACTCTGTACTGCTTTATGTAACAATAATAACACCCTCTACATGCTCCCTCTTGGCGACATCATCCGCAGACATGGGGTAAATTTCCACATGTATGCGGATGACACCCAACTCTATCTTTCTGCCTCCACCCTGAACTCCAGGACTACTGGCGTCTTGACTGACTGCCTGTCCGACATCAAGTCCTGGACGAGGGACAACTTTCTCCAACTCAACGTCAGCAGGACCGAGGCCCTCCTGATTGGCTCGCGCCAGCGCCACCGCATCTCGGCAAACCATGGCTGGACACACAACCTCACTAAGCCAGTCAGGAACCTGGGTGTCTTGTTTGAGCCTGAACCTTTCTCCCCCACATCCACGCCATGACCGGAACTGCCTACCACCACCTCCGCAATATTGCCAGACTTCACCACTGCCTCACCCCTCAGGATGCCGAAACCCTCACCCACGCATTCGTCACATCAAGGCTCGATTACGGAAACTCCCTCCTCATCTGTGTCCCATCTGTGGGCAGGAAAATGATGGCAAATGCTATCACACATTTCAAGCTGAGCGATGCTGCTCACCAGGAAGCTCACAGGGAGTTCCTCATACCTACTAGTCAACTAGTGAGTGCTGGAATTTAAGATGGCCAACTAGTGATTATCTTCCTTAGCATGTGGGGTGGGGGGGAGGAAAAAGTGAGAGGGGTCTCCTTGAAGCTGAACTGGCTCCAAGGTCCCATGCTTGGCAGCAAATGTTGGAATTGGCGGAACCTAACTGTTGGAATGATTTTATTGTTTTATTATTTGTGATTTGTTTTTGTGTTACCCATGGAAAAGCTGAAAGCATCAGATATTTGTTCTGTTTAACAACTAAGGTTCGTATACATAAGTATGGGAGGGCTGATTTTGCCACAGGATGTCAGTGCATAAATCATTGACACCCCAACCATATTTTCCCTCTTATTTTCTGCCCTCTCTTCCTCATCTTTCTCAGAAAGTGTTCAACCCCTTTTACCTTCTATTTGGATAAAGTTATAATAATAATCCTTGCATTTGATATAGCTCCCTATCATGTCATTGAGACATCTCAAAGGACTTCATGTGGTTCTAAGGGCAGTTCATCTAAATGATCAGAATGTTGGCAGATTATTAATGACCACATGAAGGGAACAGAAGATAGTAGGTGAGCAGGAGCTAAACCCCTCCCGGAGGAGTTCAGACAGAGCCCCATTAAAAAATAAACCTTTTATAAAGGATTATTCAGGCACATTTTGTGTAACTTTACATGTAAATTGACACTAACATGCTATTTAACACTGGTAATCAATGACCTTATGATATTTAGCACATTAAATGATCCCCAGGGATGCTTGGAAATACGTTGCACCCTGTCATCAGCTCGTCGTCGTATAGGTCAATGTAATGCAATGTAACAGCCACTGTCAATCAGCTCTCAATGACTTGTATTTATATAGCACCCGCGACACTATCCGTGGGGTCTGTAAAATTCTAATCCACTTTATAAAGGGGCACAATCAGGACTGCCCCTGATCAGTGTGACCGCATTGGAACCTATAACATCACTGTGAATGTATGCAGAAGGGTAGCCAGCCTGCTCCATGCTTCAGAGCAAATCTTCACGCTTCAATTCCTACTGGCGCTCCAATGTATTTTCAAGTGTGACACCAGATTAGCACGGTGCAGTGTCAGGATTTGGGATTTTCAGGAGAAAAAATACTCGCCTAATTTCATTACAATTTCATGAACCTGCATTATAATGAAACATGTTATAAGAGGATTCCATTGTACTCTGTATGTCAGTCAGACCTCCTGCAGTATATAATTGTAGGAGGTGTGTCATTCAGTTCTCTTGCAAGCTAACCTGTCAACCACTGCTTCAACACAAATACAGTCAATCTTCATCATAACAAACCATGCTTATATTGCGGTCCGACTGTATTAAGAAAAATTGAATTCCTAAATATCTTCATATTTGAATAGTTTGTAAAATTTTTGCTGAACTATGTCCATTTTATCCAATAGGACGGTGATCCAGTGAGGCCTGGTGTAGCTATGACTGACCTAGCGACAGGCTTGTATGCTCACGGAGCTATCATGGCTGGGCTGCTTCAGAAAGAAAAGACAGGGAAAGGGTTGCACATTGACTGCAACTTGCTTTCATCTCAGGTATGTAGAAAATGTGTGCATTTAACAAAAAAAGAAAATTTGACATAAGTATTGTGTGTAGTTTTAGAATGTGGAATGTTCATTTAATGGATTATAGCTTTTTTCTGCTTCTTGTGATAGGGACAGTAATAATAACAATAATAATCATTGCATTTGAATAGCGCCTTATCACGTCATTGAGACGTCTCAAAGCGCTTTCCAGAATACATTGTAAAATGGATTGACTGTATATTTTGTGGGCAAAACGCAGCAGCCAATTGTGCACAGCAGTGTCACACAAACATTCTGTGGAATGAGTGATCAAAATATTTTTTGAGGGCTTATTACCCCCAGAAAATGATCCGCCAGTCAACTAATAAGGATTGCTAGGTAAACACAGGAATGTGGTGTAAGGAAGCTTGCCTAAGGTTTTGTCCCATCCGGGAAGCGACAATGCAACTGTCCTAGGTCAGAGAACATAAATCAGCCAGGCAGCTCACTCTTGTTGTAAAATATGTGTTTGTGGACATAGGTGAGATCAGGATCAGGCTTGATAACGATATCCCTTACTGTTGAATAGTGAGTGAACATTTGGAATTTTGACTCAGTCATGAAGAGCAGGCACTCAAGACCCATCTGAAGCCGTAGCTCTTTGACCGTGTTTTTGGTCATCATTGCCTTCCTCACCCCTTGCAGCTGAAACTCTAGCTGAAACTGGTGCCCAGTGTCAAGCGCTTTGAGACGTCCTCTCTATGTGAAAGCACTGTATAAACATGTGTTGTATATATTTTTTAAATGAGAAATGAATCCAAGTAAAGCAAAACATTTGTTCTGTTCGACCATGCATTCAGCTATAGTCCACGTGTGATGAATTAATTGTGCTGCACATATCGTGTATAGTTTTAACATTTCCATGCACACTGACTTTAATAATCTGCCTGATATCATTTCTGTTAGGAAAATTGCTTTACTGTGGCAGGCAGGCAGTAAACTTTTAACCTTAGACAGATGTTGTGTTCTTTCATGTTATAAAGCTGGATGATTTCAAGTTATAAAAAGTTAGAACCCTTGAGCTTTTACATTGCAACAATGTCCTTTGGATGCTACTGTAAATAATAAGGATGTGGGTTTGGGATGTGGTTTCAATTATGCTATTTCTCTTATTCATCTATTGTGGTTATCAAGCTTTTAGGAAGTTTTTAATATCCTTCCTGTATTTAATTACAACCAGGTCCTTATTTACAAGTAGCCCAAGTGGACTGTTTAATATTAAAATTTGATGATTGAAAAAATGTAACACTTTCAGAGATTTGCTTTATTAACGTTGTGTGAAATTAATTCTCTTTTACACTTTTAAATGGCTTCTCTCAGTTAGAAAATCGTACGGATTAAATTCCAAGAAAGTGCTGTCAAGTTCAAAACTATTAAAACCTAATATCAGCCTCAAGGAAGTGTGGAACTAGACAAGTTTAGCCACGTTAAAAGAAAAAAAAGAAAAAATCGTAAAAGGTTTCTGCTGCTGGCTAAAAGATTAGGAATCCTGTATTGTTGGATTTTTCTAATTTTGGAGAAACTAATCCATAATTATTATTATAAATATTAACGAGTTGCTTTTTGGCAACGTCCAATATTTTACTACTAAAGCATTGTGGCTTAGATTACTTGTACCAAATTTATCCAAGTTTAAATCTCCTCAGCCTTTCTACTTTTGACAAGGTTTTAAGACAGTACAGCTGGAGATGTAACAGCAAATATAGAAACTCCAAGATGGTTAACTGTAATTGCAGTAACCTTCATGTCCAATCAATAAATCATTTTACAACTGTCTTTGAAAATCTACTGTCCAGTGAACACTGTGGAGTTTTATATTAGAAATCCTTTCATCAAATAGTGAACTACCTATTGTTAAAGTTTTGACATATTGTCAGCTGCTATCCATAAAGAGACTGTGCTTCTGAAATGACTTTGTCAATCTGTGATTATTATCAACAATCTTGTTATAACTGCACATTTTTAAAGTAGCTCGATTTAGCAGCAAGACAAAATCTCCTTACCTTAAAATACTTTTAAGTATTGTTGCTGTGTTTAACTTTTGCATATTGTTATTGCAAATCCATTCAATAAATTCACATAACCTACTATGTTGTGGCTCATACTGTGCATGAATACAGCTGTACATCGCCCAGGGCAACCTGCTGATATTTTGACTGATTACATATATTTAATGTATATAAAACCTGCGCTCACTACAGCCTGTGAGCAGTGTAAGTAATTCAAGCACATGCATCACCCTGTATTGCCAGGTGCCCCTGTTAGTGTAATGTTCAAATTCACACGTCATCAATCATTTTTCTTACTGTTCTCTTACCAAGAAATCCTTGTTGCCTTCTTTTTTTAATTAGGTTGCCTGCCTTACTCACATAGCTGCAAATTATCTCACTGCAAAAAAGGAAGCAAAAAAGTGGGGAACTGCACATGAGAGCATTGTTCCTTACCAGGTAAGAACTTTTTTCTTTGATACTTGTTGAGGGTGGCAGGGATACCTATTTGCTCACCCCACTTTAGGAAGAACATCAGCGCCATAGAGAGAGTGCAAATGAGATTTACTAAGATGAAACTAGCAATGAGTGACCTATAAACTGAGTCTGGAGGAACTGGACCTATTTTCTGGAACAGATAAAGTTGAGGGGAGATCTGATGGATCCCTTCCTGGTTGCTCATTCCAGCTGTTCATTATTCCCTTCTTGAAGAAAATCTTCCTGGTTTCTATCATAAAATTAACCTTCATAACCCTAATCATGCGTCTTTTTGTCCTGGTCCTTTAGTATATCTGAAATGTTCTTGATTTACTTCCTCTATTCTATTTAATATGATACATCTCTATAAAGGACCCCTCTCATAGTAATCTTTGCAAGGTTGAAGAGCTCCAGATTATTTTGTCATTTCTCTCACCTTTTGGTTAGATTCATGAGCATAAGCTATATTAGGGGTTTGAGCTCATATTCCAGTGCAGTGCTGGGGGGGCACTGGATTGTCAGAAAGTGCAATCTTTTAGATGAGATGTTAAACCAAAGAACCGTCGTTCTCTTCATGTGGGTTTCAACGATCAAGAACACAGTTCAACAAGAACAACATTTATGTAGCGCTGTTCACACGGGGTAGTATTTCAAAGCAGTAGTAAAACTTGACACCAATAGTAATAATAATAATCCTTGCATTTGATATAGCGCTTTTCACGTCGGGAGGACGTCCCAAAGCGCTTCACAGAACACACTGTAAAGTGAATTGACTGTATATTTGTGGGCGAACGCGGCAGCCAATTGCGCACAGCAATGTCCCACAAACAGTCGGGGAGCGGCGGCAGGAGAGCGCGGGGAGGAGCCTGGGCCTACTGACCCAGGTACTTAAACTCGACGCCGGAGCGAGTGCAGCCAGTCGGGGAGCGGCGGCAGGAGAGCGCGGGGAGGAGCCTGGGCCTACTGACCCAGGTACTTAAACTCGACGCCGGAGCGAGTGCAGCCAGTCGGGGAGCGGCAGCAGGACAGCGCGGGGAGGAGCCTGGGCCTACTGACCCAGGTACTTAAACTCGACGCCGGAGCGAGTGCAGCTAGGGGAGGGAGGGGACGGAGCGGGGGAACTGCGACGTCATAGATTAGTTTTCAGGTGAGTGCGCGCGCAAAAAAAAAAAAACCCTCTGCGCCCCCCCCCCCCCCCCCCCGGGCTCACATCAGAGCCCACTATGGTCCTGTTGGGTTCGCTGCCCCAATCTGCGGGATAATGCCATCCACCTGACCGCTCGCTCCCGGTCCCCGCGTGCGCACTATGGCTGCCGCTTTGACCCGAGCCCCCTCACCCCCTCCCTCCCGCCCCCCTCCTCTCTCCCCCCAAACCCTCCCCCCTCTGCATCTCTCCCGCTCTCTCCTCCTCTCTCTCCGTCCCTCTCGTCTTCTATCCCCACTTGACCCTCCCACAACCTCCCTCTGCTCCAGCCTGGGAATCCTCCGCCGGGCTCACCGTGGCACTCGGCGTTGGCTGTCCAGCAGCAGCCACACCGACTGCCCCATTCCCCACCACACTCGCCACCCACCCCGGACACAGACCCGGGGAGTCAACCTCTCCTCCCTCATCCCCATTCCCCCCACCCCTGCCTCACAACCTGGACCCCCCTCCCCTCCCACACACCCTTCTGTCAACCGCTCCCTCCACATCGGACTGCAAAATGTCCGCTCCCTCTGCAACAAGGCCCTGGTCATCAACGATCTCATCCTTGATGAGAACGTTGATATCATGGCCTTAACAGAAACCTGGCTCACCCCAGGCGACACCTTCCCCCTCACGGAGGCCACGCCACCCGGCTACACCTCCCACCACATCCCCCGCCCCAACCGCCGTGGCGGTGGTGTTGCCCTTATCTCAAGGACACCACTTGCCCTATCCCCCTACTCCACTGGCTCTTTCCCCTCCTTTGAGCACCTCACCCTCTCCCACCCCTCATTCCTCTCCCTTAAAATCCTCCTCCTCTACCGGCCCCCTAAAACCTCTCCCACCTTCATCTCTGACATTTCAACACTCCTCACATCTCTTTGCCTCTGCTCCGATCGCCTCATCATCCTGGGCGACTTTAACCTACACTTCACCCCCTCCTGCTCCATCTCCACAGACTTCTCTTCCCTGCTCTCCTCACTCAACCTCTCTCTACACATAAACTCCCCCACTCACAGTCACGGCCACCCACTCGATTTGGTGATCACCCGGGGCCTCAGTGTCTCGGATGTCACTATTACCGACAAGGCCATCTCTGACCACCACTTCATCTCCTTCACCACCTCCACCCCCCTCCCCACCTCCACCAGACCCACCACCATCTTCTACCGCCCTTGGAAGAAGTTACCCCCACAATCCCTAACCGATGCCTTGGAGTCCTCTGAACTCCTCTCCCTCTGGCCTTCAACCCTCACCGACCCCTCTTCTCCTCTCTCCCTCCTCCACAATACCCTCTCCTCCACACTCGATACTCTTGCCCCCATCACTTCCCGCACTGTCTCCTACTCCCGCTCCTCCCCCTGGTACACCACCCACCTCCGCTCACTGAAAAGCCAGGTGCGGGCTGCTGAACGCACCTGTGTCAAATCTGGCCTAACGGTCCACCGACAAATCTGGCTGGACCTCCTCAAAATTTACCGCTCCACTCTAGCCTCGGCCAAGTCGTCCTTCTACTCCAGGATAATCCTGGAGGCGAAGAACAACCCCAGGCTACTGTTTTCCACCACAACCCGACTCCTCCGTCCCCCCCGCCACCCCGCGCAGGTCATCTCCTCCAACCTTCACTGCGAGGAGATGCTGGATTTCCTTGAATCCAAGATCAAGGGAATCCGCTCCGCGGTCACTTCCCCTCCAACTTCCACCCACCACCCACCCCTTCCCTCCCACACTCCGACTCCTACCCATCCTCCCCTACACACCTTCGTACCCGTTTCCCCACCCTCTGTCACTGAACTCATCCTATCCCTAAAACCAACCACCTGCTCCCTTGACCCCATCCCCACTCCACTCCTTATCTCCCAGCTCCACTTTCTTGCCCCACATATCACTGACATCATCAACCTGTCCCTCTCCTCTGGCTCTGTCCCCATTCCATTAAAAACTGCCATCATCACGCCCACCCTGAAAAAACCCTCCCTTGATGCGTCGCAGCTATCAAGCTACCGGCCCATCTCCAACCTCCCCTTTCTCTCCAAGGTCTTGGAAAGAGTTGTCGCCTCCCAACTGCGCTCTTTCCTTTCCACCCATTCTCTTTTTGAACCCCTTCAGTCAGGTTTCCGTGCTGCTCATAGCACAGAAACTGCCCTGGTCAAGGTCACCAATGATATCCTGACCATCTGTGACCAGGGCTCCCTCTGTCTCCTCGTCCTCCTCGACCTATCGGCAGCATTCGATACGGTCGACCACGCTATCCTACTCCACCGCTTGTCCTCCCACCTCAACCTTCAAGGCACTGTCCTTGAATGGTTTAGGTCGTACCTTTCTCACCGTCTTCACTTTGTCTCAACGAATGGCTTCTCCTCCACCCCCCGTACTGTCTCATGTGGTGTCCCTCAGGGCTCTGTCCTCGGTCCCCTCCTCTTCACCCTCTATATGCTCCCCCTTGGTGACATCATCCGCAGACATGGAGTTAACTTCCACATGTATGCGGATGACACCCAACTCTACCTTTCCTCCTCTACTCTCAACTCCACGACCACCGATGTCCTGACAGCTGCCTGTCCGACATCGAGTCCTGGACGAGAGACAACTTTCTTCAGCTCAACGTGCGAAAAACCGAGGCCCTCCTGATTGGCTCACGTCAGCGCCTCCGCACCTCAGGCGCTGACACCATCAGCATCCAAGGCTGCACTCTCCACCTCTCAAAGCCAGTCAGGAACCTCGGCGTTTTGTTCGACCCTGAGCTGTCCTTTCTCCCTCACATCCGCACCACAACTGGCACCGCCTTCCATCACCTCCGGAACATCGCCAGACTACGGCACTACCTCACCCCTCACGCTGCTGAAACCCTGGTCCACGCCTTTGTCACCTCAAGGCTGGACTATGGGAACTCTCTCCTCGCCGGCCTTCCCGCCACCTCCCTCCACAAGCTGCAGGTCATTCAGAACTCTGCAGCTCGTGTACTGTCCCGCACCAGGCTTCGGGACCACATCACTCCCACCCTCGCTCGCCTCCACTGGCTCCCCATCCCCCAGAGGATTGATTTCAAGATCCTCATCCTCACCTACAAGGCCATTCACGGCCTTGCTCCCTCCTACCTCTCCAACCTACTATCCCCCTACCTACCTGCCCGTACCCTCCGTTCCTCTGGCTCCGGTCTGCTCCACGTCCCCCGCCCCAACCGCCCTACCATCGGTGGTCGGGCCTTCAGCCTCTCAGCCCCGAGGCTCTGGAACTCCATCCCCCAGTGCCTTCGCCTTGCTTCCTCCCTTTCCTCCTTCAAGGCCGGTCTCAAAACCTTTCTCTTTGACCGTGCCTTCAGCTCCCCTCTCGACTCTCTTCCCCCTCCTCGCTCCCTCCCTTCCCTCCCCTCACCCTGACCATTTCCCCCCTCCTCGCTCCCTCCCTTCCCTCCCCTCACCCTGACCATTTCCCCCCTGCTCGGGTCATGACCCAACTGTGCAGCGCCTTGGGACGTCCTCCTGACGTGAAAGGCGCTTTATAAATGGAATCTTGTTGTTGTTGTTGTTGTAGATTGAAAATGACCAATTTATTATTGTTTTTTGTTTTGGAGGGATTATTATTAGGCGTGTGGAGTAAGGAAACTTGCCCAAGGTTTCGTCCTGCCTGGAATTGAACTCAGGTCTCTCGCTTGCAAAGCGAGTGCTCTAACCACTGAGCTACAGGACTCCACCAAGGACTCCACCAAGACAGAAAGAACAGGGAGATGACCATGCACATGGTCGAAGAGGAATAATGATAATAATCCTTGCATTTGATATAGCTCCTTAGCGAG